ATCCAGCTCAAATCTGAGTCTACCAAGATACAGAGTGTGGATGTGTTAACATTTTGCATTTCAAAAGTGATCCATTTATAAAAATCAAGATGATTATATTTGCCTGGACAGAGGGTATCAATGCTCTCTAGCAGAGGGAGTAGATGAACAGCAGTGGCCAGGACCCCTCATGACCTCTCCCACCAGCTCAGCCCTTCCTTCACGTGGTCCATCTGGGTGTTTCCATCCATCTTATTTGAACTCAGCTCTACAGCAAACGCTTTGTCTTTGGGAGAGGGGACTGTCCTCAAGCTGACTTGAGTTCAAATGAGAAAGCTTTGTGTTTTAGGCTTCATTTACTTTAAATAATTTATAGATAATGCTGAGATTAATATTTAGATTGCCTTCGGAAAAAAAGATTTCCATAAACAATATAAATAAAACCAGATGAGGACTATTTACCAACATAATAAAGTGAGCTCTTTCCAAACAAAACATAGAATTCGAGTGCTGACCGCAATCCATCCACTCATCTTGACTGCGGCTGTCCTTAGTTTGAATCATACCTTCCTCATTAGTTCTGATTACAAGAATTTAGAAATTAGAAAGGACAGAATTGCCTTTCATTAAAAACTGTCTCAGAAACACTTCAAGAAGTTCAGAATCCTTCCTCTGTTATGAACATCAACGTCAGCAGTGAACGTGTTACATGCTGGATCTAGTCACATGTCCTTTGCTCTAAGGGCCACGGGGTACCTGTACACACAGCTGTGCTCCCCAGGGTACATGAGGACCACCTGGGTTCTGTTGTCACATGGGAATAGATGGTGGCCCCGGCAGTGCATCAATAGAGGGCCCATGCATCTGATGCCATGATTGTCACACACCTGGCACTGCCAGTAATCAGGTCATTCCATTCCTTTGAAGTTACAATGTAGCAAACATTTGAACATGGATTTTCCTTCATATATTCTGGATTTTTCCTTGTGACTCCAATAACATTCTTTATGCTGGTAAAAATCAGCTTGCACCCCAGTACATCTGTTTTCAAGGTGTGTCCCATTGGTCCCTGGAAAGGGGCACGTTTAGAGGCTCTTGGGAGTCAAAATTATAATAATAGTGACATGGTACATGCGCTTTGCTTCCTGTTGCATCTTCACCAAGGGAGCAAAGAAATGGTGGGAAACAAATGGCAACAGCACCACCAAACAGCAGAGATGCACCCAGCAGAGAAGGCCAGGCTCCGTGAGACACAGCTGGGCAGCGGTGAGCTGCTGACTCCAGCTCATCTCAACACAGCACATCTCAACACGCGGCTACACAGCACATCTTTCCCTGAGGAGGTCTGGAGGAAAGACACAGGCCTGGTTGGATGTGTGAGCCCGATTCCCTGCCTGTCCCCCCAGTGAGCACCACTTCATCTAAAAGAACTACTGACAAACCATCACTGTTAACATTTGAGGATTTGTCAGACATTTTCCTTAAAAAAAAAGAATGAATGAGTCTTTTACTTCAAAGAAAACAACTGACAAAATTTGTAGCCAATCACAAAATCAAAATCATCTAGTAGAAATTAGAATATTTGAAATCATCTCTGCCACCCTGAGCTTGACAGTTTTTCAATGCCTCAAGATTTTTCTGATGAGATGCTTTGTAATATTAACAAGTACAACTTCAGAATAAAAAAATATTACCAAGAATAATTTGACATTATTTTATAATGTCAAAAATATGAATTCAACAAAAGGCGTAGCAATTTTAAAATTCATTTACCTATTAACATATTCAAATTGCAAAAAGGAAAAACTCAGGCAGTTGCAAGGAGACACCCACAAATTCATGGTCTTAGCAGGAGATTGTGATACGTCTCTGTCTCTGTATGTGTCAGATATAGGTGCCCCCAAGTCCCTGTGTTGGTGCAGTCATGTTCAGAGGTAAAGTGCTTGATCCTGAGAGCTATACCCTAATCACCCAAGTCTGCATGGAGTGGGTGGTAACTAGGCAGGTGGATCAGGGCTTGGTTGGAGGAAATGGGTCACTGGCACTGTAACCTGAAGGGTACATCTTCACTGGGCCCCTTCACTCCTCAATCCCTCCCCTCCCTCCCTCTCTCCCTCCCTCCCTCTTTTCTTCCCCTTCTCTGTTTTCTGGCTGCCAAGAATGGACCAGTGCTCCTCCTCCCCGCCCATCTGCATGATGTGCTGCCTTATCTTGGCCCAGAGCAATGGACCCAGCTGCCTCTGGACTGAGAGAAACTGTGAGCCTCAGATAAATGTTCCCTTTCCTAAGCTGTTCTTATCAGGTATTTTGGTCACAGTGACACAAAGCTGCCTTACAACAATGCCAACCAGTGTGGATTAAATGCATACTCAACAGCAAGGTATGCATTTTGTTCCACGAATATTCACCAAGACAGAGCATATGCTCAGCCATAAAGCAATTACCAATACATTTAAAGGGACTTCAGATATACAAAGTTTGCTCTTTAACCACAAATTTGCTTGGAAAAATCATCAGACATTTAGAAGCTAAATAGCATGTCTAACCAAAAAGGAAGCATAAAAGAAAACAGAACCTATTTGAACTGCATGAAATGGAAACATAATATCAAAATTGAAGGGGTGCAGCCAAAGCAGTTCTTAAAATAAAATTTATAGCATTAGTGCTACAAAGGTATTTAAACACCCTCATTTAAACAACAACAATAACAAAAAAAAAAAAAAACAGACTTAAATCACTGATCTCAGCCTCACACTTAAGAAACTTGAAAGAATAAAACTCACAATAATCAGAAAAAGTATTAAAATAAATTTAATAACAAGAAGAAGAAATCAATAAAATTGGAGAAAAATAATAGGGAAAACCAGTGAAACTAAACTTTGTTTTAAGAAGATCAATAGCATTGACATTTTGCTTGCCAGATGGATCAGGCAGAATAAGAAAAACACAAATTATGAACATCAGGAATTTGAGCTGTGGCATCTTTCACAATTTAAAAGGTACAGAAAATACTATGGAAAGCTTTTGGAGTAAATTTAATAACTTAAATGAAATTTTAAAATTCCTTGAAAGATACCAAGTATTGAAATTCTTTGAAGTAGGAAATAGATAATATAATAGACCTTTAAGTAGAAAATACTTTGAATTTATAATTAGTAAAAAACTAAACTCATAAGAAAGTTCCAATTCCTGATGGCTTCACTTATGAATTCTCCCAACATTTAAGAAAAAAATTACCAAATACACACACATTTTTCTAGAATATCCCAGAGGAAAGAACATTTTCAAATTAATTGTATGAGTTCAGTGTTACTTTGGTGGCAAAACTAGACAAAATAATTACAAGACTCCATATCAATGATAAATGTACATGCAAAGAATCTGAACAAATTTTGGCAAGTGAAATCCAATAGCATTTAAAAAGGATAATTCATCATGACCAAATCAATTCTATTCCAGAAAGCAGGTTGTTTTAATATTGGAACATCCATTTACTTATCATATGAACAAACTAGAGAAACAAAAGACCAGCCAAGTAGATATAGAAAAACCAAAATCTTATCTATTTCTATTTAAAAATACAAACCCCAAACAAATTAAAAGTAGAAGATTATATCCTGGACCTCACAAGGCATCTATGAAGAACCCAGGGCTGATAATATACTTATGATTAAAACCAGAATTTCTCTTGACTAAGCTCAGAAATAAGGTGTAGACATCTCACGATTCCCAGTCAACCTTGGAGTAGGGGTTCTAGGCAGTACATGCAGGCAAGGAAAAGAAATTAAAACGCTACGAGCTGTGTGGATGTAGATGTGTGAAGACATAAACCCCGTACCAGAGATGATGGAAATAATAGTCTACACCTTTAGCTCATTTAACAGATTTTTGAGTCAGTCTGAAGTGTTAAGTCACTTGATCACTACCAAGGAGACACGGGAACAACAGAGAGATGGGGGAAGGACTGAGGTAGTGGCAGGGCGAATCTGCTGTGCACCCAGGCCCACATGTGCACCCCTGGCTTCCCTCTTCCTGGCCAGAGGCAGAACAGCTTCAAAAAAACATCATTTGAGTAAGACCCGTGTCAGGCTGGCCTCCAAGGACCTATGCTGATCAGTGACACTGAAGACACTGCTACCAAGAACTCCACCACCAGGGCCAGCCCCTCGACCTGGGCCTCCAGATCTTAGAACCAAAGTTAACCTTTTCTTTGCTATTTTATAATCCCCCAGTCTTGGCATTGTGCTGTTGGCAACGGAAAGTCCCTGCTGCTTTTAAACACACTGCAGCTACCCAGGTTTCCTGAGCGATGCTCCATTCCCTGTCCAATGGCATCACTGTCCCCTACCCCACCCCTGTGGTCTGCTCATGTCACTAGCCCTGATCCCTTGCCCCATCTCTTTTGTTTCTTCCTCCAAAATGGAGCAATCGTGGGAGCAACAGTTCATTCTTCCTCGTCCCCTTGGCCCTGGATTCTTCAGCTTACTCCAATCACTAACTGGTCCAAAGACCACACAAACCTAAGGCAAACACACACCAGACTCCGCAGGAGTTGCAGGATCACAGTGCCAGCTGCATTCCTCCCGCAGCGACCAGAAAAGGCTCCAGGTCCTCAGAACCCTGGTCAAAGGATTCACCGCATTTTCTGAATCAATCCCACTGACTGCCACTAACACTAATTGCTTTGAAAGTTTATTTAATGGCATAATTACCAGTCTATAGTTTGATTTTTCCTTCTTTTTGAATATCAAAAGCATTAGAATATCAAATGGTAACAGACTAAAAACAAGAAAAATCCCTCTAAAGACAAATCTGATCACATACATTTAAAGAATTGTATTTGTTGGCTCATATCCTGGAAAGTTTCAATTCTAGTGTTTCTGGAAATCTCCACAATATGTTTTAGAGATTTGCAAATAAAGCAGTTGTGTCTGTAAATTAAAAGGACAGAAGAGTTAAACAAAATGACGGGGGTGTGGGTGAGGGGACAGCTTGCTTTCACACAGTGCTTGATCTCCTACCTGAAGTCAGAGCCGGCTCTCCTGCCGTTTTCTGGAATCCCGGGATCTGGACACATGTCGGAGACCAGGGCAACGCCTCCTTGGCTCACTGTAACGGAGAGAAGCCATGTGAGGGTGTGGGGCAGTCACTGGGGAAATACCCAGGGAAGGAATTTAATAAGTGATCTAAGAATTAAGTCAGCTTAGCACCATTAAAACAGGACTTGGTTCTCCTTCCTGATAATCTAGACTTCTTTCCAATGAAAGAATGAAAATGTCTTTGATTTTTACTTTCCTCCCCTGGAGAAGCTGAAGCTTAATTAAAAATGCATGTGCTCAGTACAATCACCCTTATGTCACACTGAGGAGCAAGACAGAAGAGTGACATCAGGGTACAAAGACACCGGAACTCAGGGAGAGCATGGCCTTACTCAGCCCCAGGATCATGACACAGAGGGTGACCACACAGAAGGTCTGCGCAAGGCCTCCAAATAAAGCCTCCTAGTGGATCCCAACTTGACCTGACCATGCTGAGGAACTTGGACTCGGGGAGCAATGGCCTCTCTGCACCAGTGTGCTGGTTTGTTTCGGAGTCTCTCCAAGTGCGAGCGTGCCCTCTCACTGGCACCTGACTACCTCCGAATGGCTTCTGAAGGACCCTTTGCATGCTGGATTCAGTGGCTGCCACGTCAACACCCATCCTACCCCACGTAGCTTGCCAGTCCAACCAAGGCAATTCCCTCTTTCTGTCCAGAATTTGCCTAACAGAGGGCTTGTGAGCCAATTCAACTGGATGGAATGGGGGTGTAGGTCCTTAAGATTGCCTCTGAAAGACATCCGTGGGTGCTGGCCGAGACCCTGTTGACCTCACTGAGCCTGGATTTTGAAACCTGAACTTCAGTGCTGTTGTTGGGAGTCCAAGGATAGAAGCAGCAAGGTGATGAGGTAGCTCGAGAACCCTCTATGTCATCCTCGAGGCTGAGCATCCACCTGTAAGGGACCCACCCCAACTTAACATGCAGCCGATCTCTCAGCGTTTACCGCAGTTTAAACCCATTTGAGTAGGTGATCCTATTATTTGTAGCCAGAAAGGATGTACAAATTCAAGGAGTTCAACCAACTCCATGTAAGTGTGATAAACCCAGAGAGTTCCCAAAGACCCAACACAACGGGGTTCTTGACCAAGAGAAGATCTTGGAAGCAGAAAGAGAGCACAATGGACCACCAGCTGGGGCTCCCCAATACGACCCTCAGACTTCTCAGCAGAAACTCGGCAGGCTGATGGCAGCGTGATGATATACTTGGATGATGAAAGAAAAGCACGGTTAACCGAGAAGTCCACATCCAGCAGAACTGTCCCTTCAAAGCGATGGTCTATGAGACTATATTATGTTATCTTATAGTTCTTAGATCCTAATATCACTTGCATTCAAAGGTTGTTATTTAAGTTCCACTTAACTCAGCAAAAGTATAGAGGGATGATAAGAGGACACTTTAAGAGAGAAATTCCAGGGTCATTGTAAGGACAGATCATTTGTGCGATATACTTTTCATGTTTTGAAGATCTATAATCTGTCCAATGCGTGAAAAATGTAACTGTGGTGCAGGAGACACTACATCTGGAATAAAAACAGTAGACAAAAGACACCTCCAGTAATTCTTCCCATGACATATCAAGGCACCAGAAATTTGGCTCCTTTCATTCAATACTCTTTTAGTTTAAAAAAGTCTTCTAAATGTAATACATTTGCAGATAAATCGTAGTGAGGGAGTTCCTTACCAGCAGGCCTTCCCTGCACGAACGCTGGAGTCCTTCAAGTTGAAACAGAAGGACACAAGACAGTCACTTGAGGCCACAGGCATTGTGGTTTGGTTGTGAGGAGCGCCCCAAAAGCTCATGTGTGAGGCAAGGCAAGACGGCTCAGAGAAGAAATGACCGTCTTACGAGAGCCTTAGCCCAATCAGTGAATCAGTCCCCTGATGGGATTAACTGAGTGGTGGCTGGAGGCAGAAGGGTGTGGCTGGAGGCGGTGGGGATCGGGGTGTGGCTTGGGGTATATATTTGTATCTGATGAGTGGAGTCTCTGCCTCCTGATCATTAGTGAGCTGCTTCCCTCTGCCACACTCTTCCTCTATGATGTTCAGCCTCACCTGGAGCCCCCAGGAATGGAGTCTGCTATCTGTGGATTGACAGCCCTGAAACTGTGAGCCCCTAAATAAACTTTCCCTCCTCTACAATTGTTCTGGCTAGGTCTTTTAGTCACAGCAGTGAAATAGCTGACTAAAACAAAATGAAAATATAAATTTCTCCAGTAAAGAAAACACATGGGAAAATGTAAGTCTAAGCATTATACTGATTTTATTTTGTTTACTGTTTAAAAGACAGTGCATAAAATAAGTATAAATCTCTACCAATAGATATGTAACACAGGAAGCCATAATTTCTGACATCAATTGCATGAAGTAGGGGGGAAGAGCCCTGAGGTACAAAGTTTATGTGTAGCATTAAAGTTAACTTGGTATTGATTGAAAATGCTCTGATTTTAGGTTGTTGTAGGTAGTTTCCATGGTAACAGCAAAGAAAGTGTCTAAGACATGTGGAAAAGGAGAAGAGGAGGATCACAATGTGTCATCGCACTGCAGCAATGGCCAGGCACAGTGCGCTCGGCCACGGAGGAAAGGGGGGAGCTGGGGACATGCAGCATGTGTGGCGGATGGTGGGGGCCAGGGCCCAGCAGGCCCTCACTCTGTGGACTGCACTCCCCATCACAGACAAGATGTCAGGAAGTGACCGTGCTCACAGGCAGGCTCCTGAAGTTGTCATTAGGGTGGACCACGTCCAGTAGTACTGGTCTCCTAACAGAGGAAGAGGACACTGGGGCATGAACACACAGAGGGAGAGCCCCAGCAGTCAGGAGGGGAGACTCAGAGGAGACCAGCCCTGCCAGCATGTTAGACTCCGGCCTCCAGCAATGCAAGGGGCAGGTCTGCTGTCCAGCACTCGTGCAGGCTGTGCTGCCACAGTGGCCTCCATAAACAGTACCTTCCCCGACCGACCGAAAGACCACATCCAACTGAACACTGTCCACCAGAGGACACGCGCCGCGGATCCAAGGATGCTCGGAGGGTGAGTGAAAAGGAGTCGGCTTCAAAGACCTGGACGGGAGGACGGAGGCTTCCCGGGGCGTGGGGACGAGGATGGGGAGGTACTGGGTGAAGGGTACAGAGCTTCATGTTGGTGTGAAGAGAGTTTTTGCAGAGAGATGGAGGTGACAGACCCAGAGTGGTGTGATAGATCCAAAGCCACAGGACTGCATGTTTAAAATGGTGACATTTCATGTTCTAGGTCCCTTACCTCTGACTTCCTCCCTCCTTCCACATCCATGTAGTCATAAACACAGACAGAGACAGAGAACGTGGGCATGGACCCACAGGTGTCAATGCAGGTGTGGACATGGACGCAGATCAGACACAGACCTATAGACAGAGATACACAAGTATCCCCTATCTAATACTCTGTTCTTCTCCAACACCAGGTCTTACAGTCTGTCTCACAGGCTACGGGGAAGTTCCCAACTAGTAGGCAACTGTCTACCACCAACGCTCTAAAATTGATCTCCTCGATACACTTAGATTTAGTAATTTCAAAGCCTAGTCATGGTTTGTTTGTTTTTTTCCCTTCTCTGGCTAAATGACTCCTACCTTCCCTCAAGCAAAGCAGCTGCCTCTGTAGCAAATGGCAGAGTCTCCTCAGGGTGCACGGCCGTTGCTGTTCTGCCAGAAGCAGAGCCCACTAGTGTGGCCATAGTTCTCCATTCTCTGTACTCAAAGTGGCCACGTCACAGCACCAAAGCTATGAAAAGGTCCACTTGTACGTCTCCTTTTCTATCATGTTCACATGAAATAGGAATAAAAAGAGGAAAATTGGAAGTATCCGTCCAAGTTAGCTTAGAACATTCTGGATTTTTAAAAAGAATAATGCCAAAGTCAGAGCGGAGAATGCACCAGAAAGCCTGGAAGGATCGCCGATGGCAGAAGACACCAGAAGAGCCATGAGTGAGTGACTAGTTGTAAAGTACGGTGGTTTTCTGAAGCAGGGGGAGGTGAGTGACAAGGGGACAGAGAAGGCGCAGTGACAGGACAGGCACAAGCAGAAGACGGGTGCCACAGACCCACCACCTATTTCACCCACATCGCCAGCCACAGACCCACCACCTATTTCACCCACATCGCCAGCAACTGCTCCTCTGATCGCTGGAGCCTCCCAACCAGTCCTGGAGGTGCACCTGCCACACGCAGGGTCCTCCAGCCCCGGTGGTCCCCAGGGAGGAACCTCCAGCTTAGCCTCAACCACTGTTGAGTTTGTTGACTTTTACCTTTTCAAATTCACAGGACATATGCCATGGATATCCATAAGCACATTAAACTTTAGTCAAAACTTTGGAGTTAAAAAATCTAAACTGAAAATATTCAATAGATGGGTCCGTCATGCACCATTGACTAAGGATAGCACCAGGAGCAAAACGGCAAGGCATGATCAGTTACAAGGTAGAGCCTGTAAACGGTGGGTGAATCTGGCCATGGAAATGCACGTTTCAAAGGAGTCTTCCAAAGCATGTTGATCCACAAGGTCTCAGTGGATATGCAGAAATAGACAGAAATAGACACAGATATGCAGAAACAGACAGGTCTAAGTGGACATGCATATCTCACCAGATGTGCACTTGCTCTTCAAGGAGACATCTTGTGGTTGCCAATCAAAGCCAACCTTTGGATGCATGTGGAACAAGTACACAGGTAGAGTAGGGCCACAGTGGACTAGGGATAGACAGGGAGCATAAGCAGCTCTGTGTGATGAAGACGATGAGACTTGTAGATTAGTGGAGGTAAGGATTACAATGGTGGAATAATTGGAAATAATTACAAATCAGTGCTAAGAAGAATTCTGCTGTTGTCAAAAATTAAACAATATGACATTTTCTAGAACTCCAAGTATCACACATGTTTCACATTTAATGCATACAGTTGCCCTATGAGATATCAGTATCAAGCCCATTCTACAGATAGAAAACAAAACTGAGACCAGACTCATGACCCAGTTGACAGCAA